GTAAGTAAGTAGTAGTAGTAAGTATAGTATAGTATAGTATTATATATATATATATATATATATATATATATATATCATATATTTGTATTGGTGTCTTCTTCGAGATATTTCTCGCTCTAGCGTCACCAGCCTCGAAATGTAACATCAGAGGAATAATTATGTCTACATACACCAACATGAATTCATACGCACTCATATACTGAAACACATTTTATCACCAGAGAGCATATTGAACTGCTCAAGCCTATGCCAGAAGGGTTCACTCCTGAGATCTTCTCACAAGTGGATGATGAGGGGCAGATCCATCTGCGGGATCTGTACCGTCAGATGAACAGAGACATTCCGCCAGAGATTCTCTACAGGCAGGAGGTCATTGGCCAGGGAGCGTTTGGAAAGGTGTGATGGATGTATGTGTTGCATACGCCGCGTGAACTATAGCATTTGGACAGGTGTGTCGGATGTATGTGTTGCATACGCCGCGTAAACTAGACGTCTGTCTGTGCTACGTTGTTCATGGGTAGCCTTTATACACGACTTCATCCTGCAGGTTTGCTGAGATGGTCTTATTTTATTAGTTGTACTGAGTGCGTACGACTGTGGCACTAGTTGCATTATCTACCCAAGAACTGGCCACCCACTGTTCCTTGTTCGTGTCGTCCTATAATTAATTCGAGCACACGAAGCAAATTTGTACGAGCACTAATTGTGCCTGGGGTTGAGCACACGTTGCGTATTAATTCGAGCACTATTTGCGCAATGTATTTAAACAATTTTTCTAGCTCTATGGATTATTGACCAGTCACCACTCAGTCACTCGCCACTGTCTGGCCCATGTCATAGGCAACGGCGAGACACGGGCTGAGTAAGCACAGTCATACACTTCAGTATGCAGGTGGTGGTGGGGTTTAAACTGCACAGTGATGCGAGAACTAGCTGCGCACTAATTTGAACACTAAATTGTGCCATTGTTCTGTATTCTTTGGTAGGTATATCGAGGTGTGCTCTATGAAAACAAGACCTTCTCTGCGGTCGCTATCAAGGAGGTGCAGGACGCCACCGGTGACAATGCAATGGAGCTGCTCGACGAAGCCAATCTCATGCGAAGGTTACATCACAGCTGTATCGTCTCCTGTATTGGCATCTGCTCAGAGAGTATGTTGTGTGTGTACCGATCCAAAGAATTGTTCGAGAGTTATAGTCTTGTCACCTTTTGTGTATTCCATATTCTTTTCAATGTTCAGAGCATCTATCGCTTCTTGGATGGTCCCACTCTGTGTCTTGTCTACTTCTATTTCTATTTATTGGCAGTTTAATATCCATGTTTGTTTTGTCTGCATCTAATATAGTTTTATTTCTATTTATAGCCATTTTGTTTAATTTTATTTCTATTTATAGGCAGTTCAATATTATCCTTGTTTCTTATGTCGTTTCACCGGTTGTCTTGTTATAGCCAATCAGATATTGTCCGCTACCCCTCCCCGCCATGCCGTGTCGAGCCGCAAATATGCCATACGCGACTGTGTATATTTCCATATATGTATTTATTCTGTACTCTTTTTTCTGGAAGCATTTGTTCAGGTGCGGATGGATGTCAACATACCATCAATTGTTAGGTGTTTTGGTACACGATTGTTATAGGCATGATATAACCATGCACATAGTCTACGCCTACAGTTAATCTGCCAAGGGCTGCTGTGAGTGTACCCATGATTGACCAGAGCATATGCTCTTACAAGTTGACAGTGTACTCTATTAAAACACATGTACATGTTAAGTATTGATACTTTTAGATATATGTTCCATTACACACATACACACATGCACGCACACACACACATATATATATATATATGCTATGTCCTGCCTCATTCACTTCCAACATGATATATTACCATCTCTATTCCTACCACGAAAACTGACACAACCTTATAACCCCAAAACCATTATTTGCCACAACTGAATACAGCACGAAAACCTGGCGAGCCGGGCTATATCGAACCAGAATCAGTGGGCGCGAAAGATGATGAGCACACACACGTTGCTATGACAACCGGTGAGGAAAGAGAGGTCGAAGTGGATCCCATGCTGAATGTCATCAGGGTCAGCATCGTGCTTGAGTTTCTGCCGTGTGGCGATCTGAAAGACTACCTTGACGTATGTCTGTTTCGAGGGTTTATGTGTCTCTGATTTCGGTTCGTCAACGAGTATGCATTCAGTTGTGCAAACCATCGGTTGAAGTCAGCCGTGTGCTCGATTTTCAATTGGCGTACAGTAAATGCATCGAAAGATGGGCTTATCTCTGTGGCAGATATATTTTCCCTCACAGAACAAAGACCGTCTTACAACCATTGCTTGTTTACACGAATCTGTGAGATGGCAAGTGAGTTTTTATTCTGAGATGTCGTGTGGGCAGTAAATGACCCATAGTACCGTCTGTTCAAAGCGAGAGGGGGCAAAAGCACTGTCTTTAACCACTGGCCACGCACACTATACAAATACCCTGGACTATATACTCTGGACTATATACCCTGGACTCTACAGTGATGTGTTGTACAACCGTCTGATCTAAAGAACACTATCAACATAACGGTAGACCCGCAAGCGTGCAGCGGACAGCTGGTGGCATGGACTACTTAGAGCGACACGGCACGTGTGTCACCGCTCTGCACTGATTGCTTACGTTCTCGACCAAAACCTCCTGCCATGGATTCGACACACTCGACTAAACTACTACACTTGCCACGGATACCTCTATGCTTACCACTGTTACCTCTATGCTTACCACTGTTACCTCTATGCTTACCACTGTTACCTCCATGCTTACCACTGATACCTCTTTGCTTACCACTGTTACCTCTATGCTTACCACTGTTACCTCTATGCATACCACTGATACCTCTATGCTTACCACTGTTACCTCTATGCTTACCACTGTTACCTCTATACTTACCACTGTTACCCCTATGCTTACCACTGTTACCTCTATGCTTACCACTCTTACCTCTATGCTTACCACTCTTACCTCTATGCATACACTCTTACCTCTATGCTTACCACTGATACCTCTATGCTTACCACTCTTACCTCTATATGTGCCACTGATACCTCTATACTCACCACTGATATTGTACACCATACTAACTCCCGAGCAGAAGAATACAATCAACATGACGGAGAAGTTGTGGTATGTGCAGCAGATGGCCCGTGGAATGGCCTATTTAGAGCGCGAGGGTATCGTTCACCGTGATTTGGCGGCTCGTAATTGCATGCTGGGTACTGGCGGACCGGCTTCCTTTGGTTTCCCATATCTCAAGGTGTGTATTAGTATTGGCTGTTCATATCTCAAGGTGTGTATTAGTATTGGCTGTTGTTTTGGTTATATCTCTGTATGTATAACCTGGGCTGTTTATGTTTGCTGGGAATGTACATGCGTATCATATCCTGGCAGTGTGCAAAAGTGTCAATTATTCGTACCGCTGCGACTATTTGTTATGAATTTATTGATATCCATGAAGTTGTAAGTATCTCTGCCATTGTATGTACGCAGATGCTTCTGTGTATGTACTGCTTGCGCTAAGCACGCCTTGTGATGTACGGATTTTAGGTTTAATCTGTGGGATGTGTTGTCGGGGCACATAATCTCGAAGTCAGTGTGTGTAGTTATTTGTTTAGGTCAACTCTCATATCTACCCTACCTTACAGCCTAAGATTGTACTTTTGCACCAAAGGAAGAAAGCAAACTACAACCTCCACCAAATACAGAGACAAACCCCAAAAGTAAAAGTAAATTAGTCATTAATTCTAATTTTGTTCCATTAAAATACCAAATACAGGTGTCCGATTTCGGACTTTCACGCCAAATAAGGGACGACAAGAGCTACTACACAATGACTCATCAGGGCAAAGTACCGGCGAGATGGCTACCCCCCGAATCGTACCGTCTGCTGAAGTTCAGTTCAAAATCCGACGCTTGGGCCTTTGGTGTGACTACTTGGGAGATCTTCAGCAACGGCAAGGTACAACATGCCGCACACACTGTACGACATGTCATACACACTGTACGACATGTCACACACGCTGTACGACATGTCACACACGCTGTACGTCATGTCATACACGCTGTACGACATATCTCACACACTGTACGACAAGGCAATTTGTGATTTTTCGGGTTAAACCTGCTACTATGAGAGTTCACAGTATTCGGAAAACAGTTTATTAACTGAAATGTGCACTCCATTCTAGTCACTTTTAGTTAGTCACTACATGCCACTCGAGAGATTGTATATCTGTGTATCATATGTATTGTCCGTATCCCCATGAATGGAGCATTCGGTGCCCTCGGTACCTATATGCCACTGCAGCACACTACATGTCCGATTTACAAGCATTCCATACCACTGCGGCTACTAACATACTACCCCTATGCTATAACCCATCATTATCAGATCCCGTACGCGAACGGCTACTAACATACTACCCTTATGTTATAACCCATCATTATCAGATCCCGTACGAGAACGGCTATTAACATACTACCCCTATGCTATATCCCATCATTATCAGATCCCGTACGAGAACGGCTACTAACACACTACCCCTATGCTATAACCCATCAATATCAGATCCCGTACGAGAACAGCTACTAACATACTACCCCTATGCTATAACCCATCATTATCAGATCCCTTACGAGAACGGCTACTAACATACTACCCCTATGTTATAACCCACAATTATCAGATCCCGTACGAGAACATGAACTTGGCTCTAGTGCTGGAGCAGCTGGAGAACTGTGTGCTACGCCTGTCGTGTCCGCAGGGATGTCCGGACGATGTGTTCAATGACCTTATGATGAACACGTGGGCAAATGCCCCAGACGACCGACCAGACTTCCAGCAGCTGATGAATTGTGCCACGCACAAGATGAAGATGTACAGGTATATGAATGAATGAATACATGAAGACGTACAGGTATATGAATGAATGAATACATGAAGATGTGCAGGTATATGAATGAATGAATGCATGAAGACGTACAGGTACATGAATGAATGAACGAATGAATGTGTGCAGCCGTGTTTGGTACAGAGGTGTGATCCGAATATGTACATTGTGAGATGCATTTTTGTATCTTCTGTACTGATTATGAGATGCATTTATGTATCTTCTGTACTGATGGTTCCCTGGCGATATGTGCAATGACCATATGATATTGCCGACTGGACTGCGAGCAGTTAAGAATAGTCTACCTACAGGATGAGGACATATAGAAAATACATATTGAAGTGTTGGTAGTATATATATATATATATATATATATATGTGTGTGTGTGTGTGTATGCATATATATATGTATATATATATATATATATATATATCAGCCACCCTCAAGGGGACACGTGTACACTAAAAGGGAAGATTTGTCACAATAAAAGGAGACCTGAGTTTTTGGACAAGAGAATGGTAGAGGGCTACCGTAAGTGTAGGCAGTGATATCTGTAGGGTCAGATGAAGACACTTGTCATTGCGGTAATGATTCATAATCTAGTACATGTACTGTCGTGCAATTTTATATTTGGAATATCGTGTTGTGGCGATGTGCTGGAGAGTGCACCGAACAATCAAACTAGTTGTTTTTTAGCAGCTTGTAACTGACCCTGTTATGGCGACGTGTGCCAACTCATGGCACGAGATGGAGAATTCAAAATGGGATCGGGTTGGGAAAATTCGGGACACTAGTACAAATCAGGCCACTTTTAATTGGCAGATGTTTGATTTGTATAGCTTCTTTACCCTTCAGACTGGAGAAAAGTAGAATCGTTACTGTCGCTTCAAAATCAGGTCACATACAAATACCGATACTAATCCAATTTGATTTTGATCCAATTAAATTTTGTCCCCTCCGCAGTGACGTGTTCTGTGAAGTGGTCATGGTGGAAGAAGAAACCGGTGACATCACAATCATGCCAGTGGATGAGCCGAATTTCGACGATGCAATGGGCGACAACGAGGTAAGCCTATGCGTCCATAAATGACACTGCAAGTTCTATGTGTATATGCGTATATGTATGTGTATTATATATGTAATGTATATGTAACGTTAATAGCATGTATATGTAATGTATATGTATGTATGTGTAGTGTATATGCAATGTGTATGTATTGTAAATTCATGTGTATATGTTTATGCATATGTATATGTATATTTATACGTATATCTAGTGTATATGTATGTATGTGTTGTGTTTATGCAATGTGTATGCAATGAAAATTCATGTGTATATGTATATGTATATGTATATACATATGTATATGTATATGTATATGTATATGTATATGTATATGTATATGTATATGTATATGTATATGTATATGTATAGGTATATGTATATGTATATGTATATGTATATGTATATGAATATGAATATGAATATGTTATGTTTAACACGCATGGACACTCGTCTCATATCTATAAGAGGGTCATTGCGGCTGTTGGTTGCCTGTAAAGTAGCTTTGTATAATGTTGACATTTCTGAATTTATGTAAATGCACTCAAGAATA